AATGATGTATGTTTAACTCCTATTTGTATATTTTTTTCATTTTTATTTTGGGAGCTCCACTTTTAGATATAAGCTCTTGTATTTATTTTCGTGTTTCTATTTAGATGTTATCATCTACTTCATGCTTTGTTTATGTACTACTCGCCTATTATTTAGATCAAACATGCTAGATTATACGGAGTATTTTCTAGCTTAGATTAGGTAATGCATTGTTGATTACTGTTTGATGTTGAAACAGTAGTGTTGAGCATGAGATTTTAGCTTTGGGATATGTATGCAGATTGTTCCATTCATTGTTGGATGTCATTCTTGGATGCAATGGCATTCTATTTGAATGTCATTGCTTTGCATTTGTATATACTCCCTCCGTCCCGTGAAACATGGGACTTTTGTTTTTTAGGAGTGATTTAAGGGTAGTGTATTTTGGTATTGAATTTCCAAAAATATCCTTTGATGTGATGGGTAGAAGTATGATTTGATGGATAGATTATTAGTAAAAAAGTATGATGTGATAGGTAGGGTATGAAAAAGTAAAGGGTAAAAGTGACTTTTTAATAGAAATGAGAAGTGTTTTGTGGGACGGATGAAAAGAGAATGGGGAGAGGTTTTATGGGACGGAGGGAGTATGTTTCTAATTGCAACGTGCTACTCAGTGCCATTGCGTCCTAATTGCATTTGTATGTTAATGGAAGACAATATTGCAAGTTGCAACTTTCTCCTAACGGTATGCTCTATATTAATCCCGGTTTTAAGGATCTAAGATACTCCGTATGATTTTCTTACTAAGCTATATATAACGGACATTAAAACTAACTTAACTCCATAGTGCTGAAAAACAAACTTTACTCCGTCAACTAAATACACTCCATGATTTTTAAATTTGTTATAAACTGACTCCGATCCGGATTTGGACATTAAAAATCCTTATTATTTTAATGCTATTTTACACGAAATTCACCCCACTCGTGCTATTAGGCATCTCGTTTATATTCTAAAACATTTAAATTTATACTCCGTATTACTAATGCACCACATTATATTATATGAGATATGTGAAATCATAGACAACCAAGAATCAAACTACATATTAAAATGTACATTAAAATATTACTCTAGGTAATTTTTTTAAGATGCAACAAACCAATGCAAGTTACATATCACATGGAAATATGGAATGCTATGTATTTGTCATTTACAAATAAAAAACTAGACTAGACTAAAAAAAGAACTAAACCCAAGTCAAAGTCATTAGTTTCCCTTCCACTAGCACGGTGTAATTTTTTGTGTGAGTTTTGCGCTAATGATTTATTTAAAAATAAGAACTTTTTTCTATTTTAATACTACTCGCTCCGTCTCAGTTTAAATTGCTTGTTTCGGTTTATGATGTTTGATTAAAATTATTTTAAACTCATTTTATATGAAAAACGATGTAGAATTAAAAAAATAAAAATGTACATATTTAAAATTTAAATAAAAAAATCTACAAAACTTGTTGTGACATGACTATATTATTTTATTAAATGACTAACAAAAATAGAAAAAAAGTTAATGAAGATATTGTATGTTAAAATATTGTTTGAGAAAAATAAAATAAAATAAATATGGAGTAAATAAATTCATACGCTTAAGGTACTACGTATAAATTTATTTACTCCATTTTTTGCATTATTTTGTGAACACAATATTGTTGAAGACTTGTCGTGCGGTCTAAAACAAATTAAAAATTTATAAAATATCCTTAGCTAACCCTCAAAATATAATCAAATAAAAATTATAGTTATGACAAGTAAGGGTGGATCCCACGGAAAAAGTTTGTACTTTTGAAATCAAATTAGCATGCACACACATTGTCACTAAACAAAACAAACTAACTACTACACAAATGATAAGACGTATAAAATTATACGGAGTAATAAAACTTATAACTAAATAAATATAAAAACTTATAAATAACTTATATAAACAATGAACTTATAATATACGGAGTAATTTATAAAAACAAAACACATATTTAAGATATACTAAAAAAGTATAAAAACTTATATATTTATAGTATATAAACGAACACTTATAATATACTCCGTAACTTAGTAAAAAAAATTTATATTATAGCGTAAAACACGAAGGGGGGGAGTGTTGAATAAAAAAGTAAATATTTTTTGGTTTTTTTATATTTTTCTAATTTTTTTGATTTTTTTGATAAAATGGGGGAATAAACTCAAAAGATAATCAACTCTTCCAACAAAGGTAATCCAAGAAACACCGCCAAGAACTCAAAACAAAATTAAAAAGAGAACAAACACAAGTTAAACATTACACGTAAAATAAGCACGTAGACAATATATTACGTAACTTACGCACTTAAGAATAAAAAATTATTCAAAAGCTCGAGTTGAATCATATCTCTATAAGGCCCAGAGCTTTTGATTCAAGGATATGGGGTTTAAAGTGATCCAAAAGGCCTTTGGATTACATGACTCCGGCCCTTACAGTGATATGATATGATTCAACTCGAGCTTTGAACCCCAACTCACCTCAAACGCTCAAACAATGATTTCAAAAGATGAAAAAGATTATAAAAGAACAAATCTTTCTTTCATTTTAACTCTCATGCATAATATATCCACAAAAAACATTTTATACACTTTAATAAATTTTAACGTCTAATGATGAAAATATTTTGCAGGTCTCCTTTAACAACTCAAGTATAAGAATTCGAGTCTATTCACATAAAAGAACATTACATATTTTCAAAAATTTTAAACCTGTTTTTGTGCTTAAACAACTTTAAATTTTATGAGAATAACGAACGAACACACGACATAACAATCAGTCGAGCCGCTGCTTTTATTTCCGTGAAATTCCCCTCCTTTTCCCCAGGTTTAGCGATGGCCCAATTTATGGCCGAAAGATTCTTTTCCCGTTGGAGCATTAATTGGCGAACAAATATGATGGAGAGACGTTGGAGGTGGCGTTACTTCGATCGCCGAAGGAGTCGAAGAACTTCTATTCTCCGTTTTTCCGTGCGTGAGATCAAATTGGGGAGGAGAGGTGTGGTTTGATCTTTTTTATTGATTTAATGATAGGTTTGGGCTCCGGCCCAAATTTAATTGCTTCCTTTTAAACTTGTATTCCGATTTGGTCTTTTGATACATTTTTCTCAAAAAATAAGATACGGTATCTTATAATTTTGAGTTAGGAAAAACAAAATAAAATGAAGAAAATAATAAAATGTAAAAAATGATTAAACAGCTACTATTTTTCAAAAAAAAATTAAAATATTGTAAAAATGAGAATTAAAATAAAACTAAGCTAAAGAAATTGAATCTTAAAAATATTAAAAATTCCTAAAAAAAAAATAAAAAGAACCAAACTAAACCCGACTTATCAAATATGGAGTATCTAGGAAGAAATCTATTTGTATGTTACTAGAGTCCAAAATAAAAAGTCATTATGAGAATTACGTAACGTATTTAATACCTCATAAAATATAAATTTGGGTGAATAATGTCATAGTGAAAAAAATTTGCTGAAAAGAATTTGGTGGAATGAGAATTTGACAAGTTTTTAATGGTAATATTATCTTCACACTAGCTATAATGGCTTAAGCGATGTTATCATATGAGTACAATTTTGGCGGACTAATAGCATGGTTGCTCCCCGTGGTTTACATAAAGGGCATCAAAATCCCTTCTGTTTTCAAAAGTTATTTGTAAAATTTCTATGGTATCTAAATAGAGCACACATGCCCCCTACTTATTTTTAAAGCAAAAATAACATTTATGCCCTTTATTTTCCTCAATCTTGAATTTTTCGAATTTTATTCTCCTTTATTATACAAATATATAAAATAAAATATATGCTTCCCATCTCGTATTAAAATTTTCCATAATGCATTTTTTACAACAAAAGTTTTTTTGGAGAATATTACAAAAGAAAATGAAAAATAAAATATATGTATAAAGTAAAAATAGTAATTGAAAAAGGTAATGAAAAGAAAGAAAAATATAAAAATCGGTCTTTTCTTTAACTCTTTTTTTCATCTTTTTGTTCTTCATTTTTTTAAAGTCCTTAAAAAACTATTTTACTTTTAAAAAATAAATAAGTTAGAATTTCTAATTAGAGATAAAGTGAGTATATGTTCTCTAATTTTTTATTTTATTTATTTAACTTTTACTTATAATGAAAAAGTGTAGTTTATTTCATTTTTTAATTTTTAATTTTCTTTTGTAACATTTTCTAAAAAACTCATTTTTTTGAAAATTAAACAAATGAAAAATTTCAATTTGAGAAAGAGGGCGCATATTTTATTTTATTTTTTATAACAAAAATGCAAATAAAAAGTGAAATTTGAAGATAGAGAAAAATAAAGAGCAAAAATGTCATTTTATGTCTCAAAATAGGCAATATGGGGCGTATTTGCACTATTTAAAAGCTACATGAGTTTTACAAATTAATTTTGAAAGTAGAGGACGTTTAGACGCTTCTTTTGTAAACCACGGGGCACCCATGCTATTAACCCCAATTTTGGTGTTATAATGACTTTGGAGTTTGGACTATATTGTCTCAAATAATTGTGGATTTTGGTTGTTGTTGACTTGTTGTCGTCTCAAATAATTATGGATATAATTAAACTTAAGAAAAATAATTGAGTCATACATAGTAGGTACTCCGTATTGCATAAATGTAGGTGTTGGGTTATGGAACCCGGGGGCCTAGGTAACTAGGCAGAAGAGTATCGAACTAAGTCGAGAATACCCAAAAATATGGAGTCAAGTAAACTGAGAATAGTATTGTTCTAGTAAAGGTAATACTTAGAACGTAAGTCCCCCCTCCCTTAGAAGAGAAGATGTTTATATACAAATTACAGCTAGGGTTCTGACCGTTGGTCCGCAATCCAACGGTCTGGGCCCACTAAGATTGGGTTGTTCACTGGCGGCGTCCAACCACATAATTATCCCTAGGATTGCTATATAAAGTAGGTAACCAGTAGGGTGGCTATAGCAACTCTGCCAGAGGCATGGCAGGAGTCTAATCGTGGGCCCCTTGATCTTGACCACGCCAGCTCCCTTGTCTGCGTCTGGTCTGTCGCTGCTCATGGCCGAGGCCGAGTTCATGACGTATGTTCAGGAGTTCTCCGGACGGGAGGCCGGCCAGATCGGTCCGAAGGTGACCGAGACTGCTGAGGCCGATCGCGTGGCGTTTGCCGAGGCGGTCCTTGATGGTCCTTCATCTTGGTTTTGCCAAGTGGGCCTTGGCGTAGTTGGGCGGGGCCATTCTCCTGTTGGGCTGGATACCCCCATTCCCGGATACGCATCAGTAGGGATGACAATACAATCCGAACCCGAGCTTAACCGACTCGACCGAGCACTAAAATATTCGGACCCGGAACGATAATAAAATAGTCCGAACTTGACCCGAAATTTTTTAACCAAACCCGAAATCGGGTCGGGTCGGGTGTGGGTTTATAATTTTCTCGGCCCGACCCGAATCCGCACCCAACCCGACTCAAATCCGAATATTTTTCAACATAAAAGCCTATTTATGGATATAATGAGCATTCCATATAATCTTTTGACAAAGTGCTACTATATCAAGTATGCCTTTTTTAATGATTTTTTATAATTCCTTAATAAAAAATGAGACACAAAAAAGAGACACAAAAAATTAGATTTAATCCTTTTAAAATTAATGAGGTATGTCGAATTGATTATTGGTTAAAAGTCGGGTTCGGGTTTTGGATTGAAATGCCGAATTCAGATCGGATCGGGTTTTTGGCTTAAAATGTCGGGTTTCGGGTCAGGTTCGGGTTTCAATTTTAAAAGTCGGGTCAGGTTCATGTATAGTGCTATCCGACCCGAACCCGACCCGTTGCCATCCTACATAAATGAGAGTGAGAGTGAGTAAGTGAGAGTGAGAGAGAGTAATCATGCATACGAATGTATTTTATACTTCCTCCGTTCTCAAAAACACCCACTCTTTCATTTTTTCCACTTCCAACAAAACACTTCCCCTTTCTATTAAAAAACCACTTTTACCCTTACTTTTTCATACCCTACCTATCACATCATACTTTTTATCTAATAATCTATCCATCACATCTTACTTTTACCCATCACATCAGGGGCAAAATTGGAAATCAACTATAATTTAACACTTCCTTATTTTTGCCCCCAAATCAAATGGGAAGGGTTTTTCCAAACGGAGGGAGTAGTATATTTTGTGGCTTGATAATGTCTTATTATTTTAGGGTCAAAATAAATTGCATGTTTAATTTTACATGGTCAATCTTCATTTATTTTTTTCTATTTTTGTTAGACATTTAATAAAATAATATAGTTTCTAAATATGTAATTTTTTTAATCCTATATTGTTTTTTATATAAAATGATTTGACAAAAATTTCGGTCAAATATCATAAACCGTATCAGGCTATTTAAATTGGGACAAAGAGAGTAGTATTAAAATAATCAAAAAAATTTATTTTTAAATAAATCATCAGCGAATACACCGTGCTAGTAGAAGGGGAATTAATGAGTCCTTAACTCACTTAATTAAACTCAACATTTATGAGTTGTACTTATTAAAAGCTATGTTAGGTGAGAGACAGTGGCCACAACAACGAGCACACAGATTCGACAGATTCGAGGCGAGCATTCTGTAGGGACGATACTCTGAACCAACGATGGCGGCCGAAGAAGGTCCTCTTCCTCGTAGGAGGCGAGTGGAGCTTCCAGAAGGAATTCTGATGGAGGTGTTCAATAGGTTGCCTGTTAAAGACATAGCGAGATGCACGGTGCTTTCGAAAGACATCTACAACCTAATCCATTCACATGCTTTCTACAGGATGTGGATCTCGGCCAATCTACAAGAAACAGTAATACTGTTTTCAGAAAGAGACAACTTTTCAGAAAGTGACGACGACGCCGGTTGGAATTCCATACATTCCATAGATCTGATGGGCTTAGACCACCTGCCGCCCCATCTGGTTGAAATCCCTCATCCTTTGTGATGGCTATAAACCACCGAGAGTATGAAATAATATAAAGTTTTAGAGAGAGTGTGTGTGCGCAAAGCGGGAGTATATTGAATTCAAAATTCGGTCCCATTACAATGAGGGGTGCCACCCCTTTTATAGGGGGTAAAATACACTAAGTCAAAGCCCTCTGATCGAGGCCCGTCGTTTAGCGGACGTCACCTGTCCTTAGGTCTTGTCCCTTTCATCCTATCGCTTTCACCAAGTCTTCGTTGAACGTCGTTTTCCGCCCGTCTTGTCCCTTTCATCCTATCGCTTT